TTAGCCATTTCACTTAGATTGCTTAGTAAATTTATTCGGTTGCTGCCAATTCTGCTAAACTGTGTATTCTTTAACACTGTGAAATAGTATTTGTCTTTGTTTTGTCTTTTGGTTGAAAGTAAATTTGTTCGGTTGCTGCCAATTCTGCTAAACTGTGTATTTTTTAACACTGTGAAATAGTATTTGTCTTTGTTTTGTCTTTTGGTTGAAAGTAAATTTGTTCGGTTGCTGCCAATTCTGCTAAACTGTGTATTCTTTAACACTGTGAAATATTATTTGTCTTTGTTTTGTCTTTTGGTTGAAAGTAAATTTGTTCGGTTGCTGCCAATTCTGCTAAACTAATACCCTGAAGTCAGTATTTGTCTTTGTTTTGTCTATTGGTTGAAGTAATGCAATCCATTCAAGTTTCAATTTGCAGAAGAAGAAATAGTTTACTTTCGCAACACGAAACTTAAAATCGCAACGAGAGAATCGCAACGCGAAATGAAAATCGCAACGACAGAATCGCAACGCGAAACCAAAATCGCAACGACAAAATCGCAACGCGAAACCAAAATCGCATTGCGATTTTCATTTCGCGTTGCGATTCTCTCGTTGCGATTTTCATTTCGCATTGCGATTCTGTCGTTGCGATTTTCATTTCGCGTTGCGATTTTGGTTTCGCGTTGCGATTTTGGTTTCTCGTTGCGATTCTCATTTCGCGTTGCGATTTTAAGTTTCGTGTTGCGAAAGTAAACTATTTCTTCTTCTGCAAATTGAAACTTGAATGGATTGCATTACTTCAACCAATAGACAAAACAAAGACAAATACTAACTTCAGGGTATTAGTTTGAAACATATTTTTCTTTGTTATCTGATGCATTTTGTGAACTATGATAGAATAATGACTTGGGTGAATACAATGCAAGTTTGAAACATATTTGTCTTTGTTTTCACTGTTTAAATATCATGTCTGTTTATTTACTGATTTTTGTATTTAATTATTTAGCGGCCCGATAGAGTGGATGCTTTACGTCGGGTTATGCTTGCACGACGGAGTTCACGCATCAGACAGCGTGCACGTGCTATTAAGTCTCCGTACACCCCAATAGTGCGAAGACACCGCAAGAAGAAGCCCGACTCGCCTGTCATCCCTCAAGAGTCCACTCCTATCGTTGAAGAGGCCCCCCTATCATTCCTCGAGAGTCCCCTCCCACCATTCAAGAGGCCACTGTCATCATTGAAGAGGTCCCTCCCACCATTCAAGAGCCCGATTCACATGGCGTCATATATAGGCTTCTTGAGAAACCCTCTGACGTACCGGACATGTTGGATTCAAGTTGGCTCTCGTATGAGTTACCGCCCAGTACCATACCGGTATCTGAAGAGGAGAGGAAACAACTACCGGACACAATTCTGGATAACACCCTTTGGGCTAAGACCGCAGTTGATTTTTATCTACATGATCGGAGCCAGGGGTGTTTCACTGACATATGCAAGCTCACTGATGATATCTATTTGTTGCTTGATCGGTCTTGGTGGGGCGTATTATTAGGGGTCGAAGACAATGGCTATTTCGATGGGGGGGTAAGTCTTATATTTTTCTTATATTTCAATTTGATTAATTTTTTTTAAATTTATGTAAGTCACTAATATATGTCTTTTTTTGTAAAACAGCATATCAATGCGTGGGTGACACGTCTTCTAATAATAAGAAAACTTAAGAAAAATAAAAATATACGATATACAATTATGCCGACGTCTTTTAACGCCGTTCACTTGAAGAATGCACGAGATGAATCATTTGATTTGGGCAAGCTAAACTTTATCCTGCATGGTGGGAGGTCGATAAGGTTAATATTTATTTTAGATTGAGTTTAAAGGTTTTATGAAATAAGTGCGCAAATGAATGAATTATTACTTATGATTGCAGGTGTTTATCCCTGTTTTGGAACGTAAACATTGGATTCTCGTCGAGCTTCAGCTCCCATCCCTTAAAACAATAGTGTATGATAGCATGATAAATTACATATCATTGGCTGATTTAAGAGATATTATTAAGGGATGGAGCTCTCATTTGGCTAAATTCTTGGATGCGATCAATTATTGGACTCGTTCTGGAAACAAGAAGCCAAAGAAGCTCAATATTACAGTTATTAGAGACGAGACTGCGCCACAACAAACGGGAGGAGCCAGAGGAGATTGTGGTCCTCTCGTATGCTTGGCGTTGGAGCGTTTGACGACGGGAAGCACCAAGTATCTACCTCCCACCGATAGAGATAGAGCTGCAGTAGGCTTGTGGTTTCGGCATTATATGGCTAAATCGATATATACGAGACGCTGCCTACCTGCATCCGCGTTATAAAAATGTCCATAAACAATTGGTAAGTTTATAGACTTTTGGTTTGAAAATGTTTGGTTAAGTACCTAGAATTCAATAATTTGCTGTTTGTAGGTTTTAGATGTGTAGAAAGTATTGTTTGAGCAAATGTTTGGTTTCTGCAGGTTAATCTCAGAAGTGAACTACGTGAAAATGATGTATGGCTGCAAAAGTTGATTCAATAGTTTAATTGATTGTTTTTTGATTGTTTAATTGATTTGTAAAAGTTGATTCAATAGTAGATGATTGGAAATAAGAATTATTGCTTATTTTTTGATTGTTTAATTGATTTGTAAAAGTTGATTTGTGTAATTGATGCGAACATAATTCTTATTTGTGCTTGTTTAATTGATTGAAATGTAATGGTTGATTTTGTTGATTTCAATCTGCATTATGTTGAAATGAAAATCGCAATGCGAAATGAAAATCGCAACGAGAGAATCGCAATGCGAAATGAAAATCGCAATGCGGAAATGAAAATCGCAACGAGAGAATCGCAATGCGATTTTCATTTCGCATTGCGATTTTCATTTCCGCATTGTGATTCTCTCGTTGCGATTTTCATTTCGCATTGCGATTTTCATTTCGCATTGCGATTCTCTCGTTGCGATTTTCATTTCGCATTGCGATTTTCATTTCCGCATTGCGATTCTCTCGTTGCGATTTTCATTTCGCATTGCGATTTTCATTTCGCATTGCGATTTTCATTTCCGCATTGCGATTTTCTTGTTGGGATTTTCATTTCGCATTGCGATTCTCTCGTTGCGATTGTAATTTCCGTGTTGCGATAGTCAAATGCATGCCTAATAAGTGATAACAACTGAATAACAAGAGTTGGTTAAGTCAAAATGGTTGGCCTGAGTCATTAATTCATCAACATACAATGTAACATCATCTTGTGAAACACTAATGTAAGCAATGAATCGTTCAACATCTTCATTGTCGGTTAACAAATAAACTTTACCATTTCTCTGATAAGATAGCCTAAATCCACTTAGGGGCTCTAAATTCAATTTATTTGAAACACGTAGCATTAGAGTTTCATAAGTTAACTTTTGTAAAGACAATTTTAGTTGAAGATTCATGGGTAAAGGCATATATTGTAAAACACCATGAACATTATCCCATGACCCTCCAAAACACAAATCTATCCAAACATGATCAACATTAGATGATTTCATGGTTGTAAATTAATTTACTAAACAGACGAGCTGCGAAACTAAAACCTGTTGCCGGATTGGGAAGGATGTCGTTGGATATAGGAACGGATGTCGCCGGAGAGAGTGATAGATGGAGATGGAATGAGTTGCGATTTAGGGATTTAGTTTATGATTTGCTGCTGTTGCGTAGTTATATACCCAAAATTTCAGTGTTGTGATTTACAGATTCTCGTTGCGATTTACGGATTATCGTTGCGATTTACAGATTCTCGTTGCGATTTACGGATTATCGTTGCGATTTACGGATACGCGTTGCGATATACGGATACGCATTGCGATTTACGGATACGCGTTGCTATTTACGGATACACGTTGCGGTTTACGGATACGCGTTGCGATTTATGTGTTCGCGTTGCGATTTTCATATTCGCGTTGCGATTCTTGAAAATCGCAATGCGAATTTGTACTATCGCATTGCGATTTTCAAGAATCGCGTTGCGATTTTGGAAACTGATTTGCGATTCTAGGGATCGCGTTGCGATTTTTATTTCGCGTTGCGATTTTGTTGGTCATTTTGGCAAATCCAAAAAAAGTTGGTTAAAATCGTATATTATAAGACATTTTTGGTCACTGAGGCGATTTTCTCTTTCTTTTTTATTTAATCAAATATTAACAAAATAATAATTAAAAATTTCCATGTCACGAGAATATTAATAAAATAAGTTAGAGTGATTAAAATATGAGTAATTTTAAAGGTAGTGATTAATTTAACAAAAAAAGTAAGCTTTAATAATCAAAATAGGAGTGAGAAGATAATTTGATAAATGATGTAATTTACCCATATAAAATGCCATCATTAAAATTTATTGGCTTGATATCAAAATAAACCTAAACTAAATATTAGACATGATTTAAGAAAAAACAAAGTTTATATACTAAACATGCAGTTTATCCTAAACAATTTGTAGCATAAGCTGGAACCCCTGAATGGCAAAAAAAAAAAAAAAGGAAGAAAGAATTGGAAGTTCAGTTTGAGAGGGAAAAAGCAAGCTATTTCATATTATGTGATTGAGATAGAAAATGAAAAAGAAGATTGTAAGCAAGACCAGGGAATGGGATCAACAGAGTTCTGCACAAGAAAGAGGGTTTGTTGGCGCAAATTAAAGTGGTTGATCAAAGAGTCTCAATTCAACCGCATAAACGTATCATATCACTCTTCTGTGATTGTGGTAACGATCGTTAACGATCAAGTGACTGATTATTTACACAACAATAATATTAATAACTCATTCAATATTTTTGAAATTTCAGTGCTGAGAAATGAAATTTACTTTTAATGATAGATGTACCCATATTATTTTATAAAATTAATATATATATATATATATATATATGATGTCTATAAATATATTGTTGCAACTTTAGCATTGTCGCAATCAATGGCAGATCTAGACCATCACTTGCATCCGCCACTGGCCGCAACTAGACCATCAAAAGATCTCAACATCACCATCTGAATCAGCTAATTACAAGGTTGTTTCGAAAGATCAAGATGTTTTTGAATATGAAAAACCTTTGTAATTTGCTACCAATAGTCCCCACAAGAGCACATCCCATTTCTAAAGTGATGAAACCGTGTAGAATCTCTTACTATGATCTCCCGACCAACAATCTTTGCAATGAGCTTAATGGCACCGTGACAATCGCCACATACACGAAGATTCTTCATCACCGTTATTGCTCCACCCTCCGCAGTAGCCACCAATCCAAATGCAATGGCAAGCCTCTCGCTGTGATATGACAACATCTCTTGCTTTTGCTCCTCCTCCACATCATGAAGTGCAAACCTCTCATCCGGAACATGGCCAACCTCCTTCAACTTTCCTCCCAACCAATCCAGCTTTTCATATATTTTCTCAGTAAGAGGGTGAGACCTATCTGCACAAACAAACTCGTGTCGGATTCCCCTCAAAGTAACCCAACTGCAACCCGGTTGTTTCACGACCCCTCTTTGTTTCATCCGTACTCTCATTCTCGAGACATCACTCCATTTACCAGCAGAAGCATATATATTCGACAACAAAACATAAGCAGCACTGCAATTCGGTTCAAGATCAAGAATAGATCTCGCAGCTCTTTCAGCCACTCCTAAGTTAGAATGCATCCTACAAGCACTAAGCAAAGCTAGCCAAACTATAGAATTAGGCTTTACCTGCATATTATAAATTAGCTCCTCCGCTTCTTCCAATTTCCCACATCTACCCAGGACATCAACCATACAAACATAGTGCGGAAGTTTTATCACAGTGGATTTATATCGACTAATATACTCGAAAAAGCATCTGGCCTTTTGCAACATTCCAGAATGGCTGCAAGCAGAGAGCAACCCCGTGAATGTAATCTCGTCTGGATCAACTTCATGGCGTATCATTTGAGTAAAGAGTGTGAGAGCCAACATACCTTGACCATGCTGTGCAGATCCAACAATAATGGAGTTCCACGAGACATCATTTTTCACACCAATATTATTGAATGCAGCTACAGCATCATTAATATTCCCACACACAGTATACAATACAACCAGAGAATTACCAACAAATATATCAGAGTTCAGACCTAGCTTGACGGCCACAGCATGGATCGCTTTACCCTTGTCCAGAGCCTCTAATCCACTGCATGAATTCAAGGCACTAGTGAAAGATGATTGATTCGGTAGGACAGCCATTTGTATCATGTCTCTAAAAACCATCAATGCGGATCGATGCTTATGGTTCAAGCCATAACCAGTTACGAGAGCTGTCCATATTACCACGTTGTCATGCAGTTTCTCATTGAAAACCTTGGAAGCATTTTCCATTTGCTTGCACTTAGCATAAAAAGTTAAAAGCGAAGTGCATACAAATTCATCAAAACAGAATCCAAACTTAACAATTTGACCATGGCTCTGAACACCCAAATGCAAAGCCATTACATTTGCACAAGCTTTCAACACGCAAGAAAGCGTGTTTGAACTCTGTTGAACACCAGAAGCAGCCATCTTTTTATAAAAGATTAAAGCTTCATCAGTTCTCCCATTATAATCCAACCCATCAATCATTGAAGTCCATGAAATCACATTCCTAGATGGCATCTTCCCGAACAAATTAACCGCATCATCAACTCTCCCGAACTTCAAATATCCATAAATCATTGAATTCCAAGCTGCGACATCCTTCACCGGCATCTCAAAAAACAACCTTTCAGCCACCTCGATTTCCTCAAACTGCAAGTATCCGTTTACAATTGTCGTCCAAGAAACAACATTCCGTCCAGGCATTTCATCGAAAAGCTTCCTGGCCGTGATTAAATCCCCACAATTCAAACACCCTTTAATCATTGAATTCCAAGAAACGGTATCTCTCACCGGCATTTTCTCGAACAGTTGGATTGCTTCATCAAGTCGATTATTTTGAGCATACCCATCAATCATCATGGTGTATAAATGCACCCCAGGGAATGGGATTTTGTTTAACACCTCACGAGCTTCATCCAATCGTTGGTTGTTTAGGTGATGGAAGAATAAAAATTTACAATTGGGGTAGCTTGAGTTTGCATTGCTAGAAATCGTAGTCAAATATTGCGAGAATCTTTCAACAAATGAGGAAGAAAAGGGAAGGTAGATTGATAAACCGAAAAGGATACTTGATTGGTTGGTTTTTCTGAAAAAAAGCGCGCGAGATTTCAACATTACTTTTGGATACTCTCAATAATTTGATGATAAACTTTCAAATACCTCTACAAACATCATATCCTTTGTTTATTCTCCATTGCTGATACAGTTTGCGAGAAGCAAATCTGTTTGTAAGTAATACTTTCATGAACTTGGTAATTTGTTTGCAAGTTTGTAGCCTAGTTGCTTGATTATCATCTCTTAACGGGTGATTATGCTTTGCGGCGTCTAAAAAAAAAAAAAAAAGGTTAAAAAATGATGTGATCTGTTAAATAAGTGATCGATTAAAATTTAGATCGATTATGTTATATCATTTAATCGAAAATATTATCAAGTACAATAATATATTAGATAGCGTTTATATAATGTAATAGGTAGCGCTTATATTGACCTATTTTCTAACTAAACATATATATTTAAACTGGTAACATTGTAAATTTACGTATTACATTATAATTATTGTTTTGATGTTTTTTGAATTTATACAATTTTAAACGTATCGACACTTTATGCGTGTATCTCGTTGTGCTTTTATTTTGGGAAAAAAGTATCGACATATATTTAAAGAGTGTCGATACATAATGTAAACATATTTACTAATTAACCAGTATATTTTTATCGATTACATTGTAAATTTACATGTTACATAATAATTATCGATTTCGATGTTTTTTGAATCGATACTTTTCATAAATACATCGACACTTATGTGTGCACTAGTTTAAGTTCTTCAATCATAAGTGTATTCTTTAAGAAACTAAAACTGGCTTAACTTTATTCTATGGAGATAATAAGAGTATATCATAAGTTTGCGTTGAGAGATGTTTGTTTCTGGGTTTTTGTTCTTTAAGAAACTGATAACATGGTGTGTTTCCCAATGTTATTCTTTTATTATTATAAAGTTTTTGTTATTTTCTTACTGGGTTTTGCTTAAAATATTCAACTTTTTGTATTAAAAAATGAAAATTCTGAAATAAAAATGATCACACAAGCACACTTTTTCACTACCGGTTTTATCATTTCGAGATCGATTTTGTCATATTTTTACCTATTATATTATTATGGATCGATACATTTTTATAAAATATCGACACTTTATTGACGCTATAACTTCTTTTCTTTTAAATTCCAAAAGTGTCCATACTTATAATAAAGTATCGACACTATCAACATATCCGGTAGCTCTTTACCGGTTTTGTCATTTCGAGACCGTTTTGTCATATTTTTACCTGTTACATTGTTATGGATCGATACATTTTTATAAAGTATCGATACATTTTTATAAAGTATCGACACTTTATTAACGCTATAACTTCTTCTCTTTTAAATTCTAAAAGCGTCGATACTTAGCGTCGATACTTATAATAAAGTATCGACACTATCAACATATTAAGTGGCGTTTTACCTGTTTTGTCATTTATAGACCTGTTTTGTCATTTTTTTACATGTTTTATTGTTATGGATCGATATATTTTTATAAAGTATCGACACTATCAATATATCCGGTAGCGCTTTACTTGTTTTGTCATTTATAGACCGGTTTTTTCATTTTTTTACCTGTTATATTGTTATGGATCGATATATTTTATAAAGTATCGACACTTTCAATATATCTGGTAGCGCTTTACCTGTTTTGTCATTTATAGACCGATTCTGTCATTTTTTTTACCTGTTATATTGTTATGGATTAATACATTTTTATAAAGTATCGATACTTTCAATATATCCGGTAGCGTTTTACCTGTTTTGTCATTTATAGACCGGTTTTGTCATTTTTTACCTGTTATATTGTTATGCATAGATACATTTTTATAAAGTATCGACACTTTCAATATATCCGGTAGCGCTTTACTTATTTTGTCATTTATAGACCGGTTTTGTCATTTTTTTACTTATTATATTGTTATAGATCAATATATTTTTATAAAGTATCGACACAAACCGACAAGCTAAGTTTGCCGGTTGCCAAAATTTTTAATATTTCTTCATGATTTCCACCTATTACATTATTATTAATCGATATTTTCGGTAGCGCTAAACCGAATTTATCAAATATCTTTTAATGTATCCGGTAACGCCGTATATTAACTGTATATTAGTCCGTCTTTCCGGAGACAATCCCTCTCTAAACATAATTTGAAGTAAGTAAAGGTCCAAATTAATATTAAAAAAAATAAAGGTCCAAATTAAAGAATTGATATTTATTTAGGAGATTATAAAGAAATTGAAGTATTGAAAGAGAAGAGGACCCTTTTCTAATTAGTGGGAAGTGATGGCAAAATCGGGTTTTTAACCTAAATGTCATAAAAGAAATTATTATCGAAAATAATATTTGTTTCAAATTATTTATCGAATTGACTTTTTTTTGTCACATAAAATAAAGACGCTTTAAATGAAATATATATTTTAGAAATCAATTTTTGTGGGAAACTCTTTCTACTTATATGAAAGAAGTCGGTTAGAATTTTAAAGGTTAAGCTAAAATGAAATAATAATAAAAAATATTAAAAATATATGAATTTTGTCTAAACAAATAAACGTGTGCGGAGCTTGTGAAAAACTATCAATTGACACTTTTATCTTTCATACGTTGTGAGTTTAAAATTCTCCTTGTCCTTCTTCTAAGTATAAACTGTTGAAAAAACCCCCTCTATATTAGCTAAAAAATTAGAAATTATATTTTTTTCTGAAAATTTACTAAACAATAGTGTTTGAGAGAAATTATGAAAAATAGAGAAATTGAGAGAAATTTTAATAGTTTTTTAAGAGAATAAAAGTGTTTGAGAGTTTTTGAAATATAGAGGATGTTCATTAGTTATAAAAATGAATTATAATTTATATAAATTAATGTATAAAAAAGTGTAGAAAATGTGAAGAAAATTAAAAGGAAAATGACTGATACAATCAACTTTTAAAAAATTAAGGTATATATTTGGAATATTAGAGTTATTGATCTTTTTATAAAATAGTCTCCTTTCCCTTGATCAAAAACAAATTTTTAAATTATCTTTTAAAATTTTAATTCTAACAAACTTCATTCAATTTAAAAATATTTAATTAATATTTCAAATTTCTATAATCATTACTTTTAATTAATGTTTAAATTAAAATCATTTAATTTGTTAATTATAATTTGGTCATTAGTTGAAATACAAGTATTGATGGTGTTTTTAATGCATTTATATTGTTTGATTGAATATTTGATAGATAATGAGCATCTAAAAAATTCAATATGGATTTAAAAAAAACAACTTAATCAATAATTTCTCGTTAATCGATTTAAAGACTCGTTATCTGTCATAAATTTTGGATTGAGTTTGAGGTGTTACAATCAAATCCCTCAAATTCAACAAATCTTTAAACTCTTTAAAATTATAATGTTTGTGTGTTTATTTTGACGAATTTTAAAAATATTTTAAGAAATTTTAAATTGATAGAATGATATAAGACAATGAGATATGACCACTAACAACTAAAATAACTACATACAATATAAATAATAGAGATTTTTTTATAATGATTAGAAATAGAAAACAAACCCCTAAATTTGATAATAAAAAAGAGAGAGACAAAATTAATAAAAAAATATCCACGTAAAAATAAATATATATTTTTCTTTTATGTCAGCACACGTCAATATAAAAAAATATCGTATTATTTGATTGATAATGATTTAACAATTTAGTGATAAAAAAAGTTAAATTTGAAAGACTAGTGATAAAATTGAGCTAGTGATCAATATGATACAGATACTAAAGTTTAGGGACTAATGTTGTAGTTTAACCATCAAATTAAGAGCGAAAACAAAGGCTGTTTGTAATTGACAAACAAAGTACTTAACAGCAAATAGAGCAAGAAATTTGTTCATGATTTTTAGTATAAACGTACAACTGAATTCGTCCAATTCCCAATCCTCATAAAGATTTAAAATTTGCACGAATTTTATGAAATTCAGCTAAACCCATCAAATTCAAAACCCTTTTTCTTTTTATCTTTCGTAAGCTGCTCTTCCTTTGTCAAAGCTTCATAATTTCCTGAGAAACTAGGGTTCAGTACTTCAAATTTCAATGGGTCGTTCTCGCGGGAATTTTCACTCTGCTGATGAGGATCCCACTCAGAGGTTGGCCTTCTTTCTTTCTTTAATTTTTCCTATTTTGAAGAATTATTGAGTGAAATTATGTTTTTTCAAATAATATTGTCTGCATTTGAGCTTGCATGGTGAAGGGCGAAGATTATTCAGAAATTACACCTGTTGGTTTAAGTTTGAACTTTTTCATTTTTGGTTACTTCATTTCTTGAGTCGTAAAAAGAACACAAGGACCTGTTCCAATGTTCAGATGTGCCCAAATACCGTTGATGCTCTTTTGGTGATTGACTGGGTTGACGTACTCTTTGAGGAAGGTAAGCTTTGGGTTGATGCAAGATGAATGTGAGCTAGAGGGTGTTGAAGCTTATGCTCTCCTCTGCTTAAGTGAGCAGAGAGTGTTGTTGGATGGAGAGGGAAGCAAGAACTTGAGCACGTAAAGGAGTCGAAAGTGTAGAGAGATAAGGAGATTCGTACTTTAGTTTTTGGGCTGTCCAAAGGTTTGCTCGATGGATGTTAATTGGCTTCTCGACTCACCTATGTCGCTACTGCTAATAGTTTTGAGAACACAAAGTGATATCATAAACCAAGGCTATGATCAGGGATATCATCTATTTACTACAACTTGATATTTCAGTTGCTGTTTTAAATTAACTTTTCTCTGTTTTCCTCCACTTGTTTTAATGGATTTGATTATCTACTCTGCTATTTAGTTACACTGGATTGTTAGCTCCTTAACTATGAGGTTTCTTTCTTATCTTATATACTCAGAATCTAAATCTCTTGCTGTAATGAGTTTTATGATAACAAAAGATGGATGATCGTTTTCTTGCTTTCCTTGTGATAACTTGCAGATTTTTCCCATGTGTTTGTGTTATTAATAATTATTAGTTTGCTTAACATCATTTTTTCTTTAAATTTCTTACTGTGATAT